GAAGCGCCGCCATATCTGGCCCAAATTTGGGTCCGGCAGAGACCCTATAGAACAGATTAGTGTTCTATTGTCTCTGGGTTTGGTTTGCAAAGCCGAGAACAGACCACTATTAAATCCTCCATAGGATCCATCGTTTTAAGAATTGAATTTCAGGAGCTGAAAAATAGTACTTCGACCGTTTTCGGCCGAGTGGAAATATTAAAGCTAGGTAGCCATGTACTTCAGCTGTGCACCATTAGAGTTATGACATGTTGTCCGGCGTTTCTAAAAAATATCGCGAATTTCCAAACCGACACCACATTTGTGCCTGAAAAACAGTCGTGCAGTCGGATAGGGGCCATACATTGAAAGAATTCGTTTTAAATTACCAGTAACCATCTACCCATCTCCATGTGCATGTCATTGTCATACACGATAGCCAGCCTAAATAATGCAACCACAAAACATCACGTCAGCTTTAGTGCACGAGCTGCGGGCCTGCCGATTGGTCGGCAGATGACGCGTCACATCCTCTAGTCTAACAGGTTCTACACTTGCAAATCATTTTCCATAGGCGGCCATACTTACGAAAGAATTCCCATAAATCAGCAGAAGTTTTTTTTAGAAATAACAATGTCATCTTCTGAATCCAAGTCGCAAGTGACACCATGTATGTTATTAACAAAAATTCTATCATTTTTCGTGTAAACATCATTTTCTCAGCACACACTCGAAATGGCCAATTTACAATGTGAATCTGCACAAAAAAGTAGGCTTTCTTTGAAAATTCCTCGGCCGCAAACGCAACGCACCTCGGACGAGCTGTTTACACTGTCGGATTCAGAAAAGATTCTAGTTTCTGAAATTAACAATTGCAAAAAGTTCTAATCCTTTCTAATGAGAAATACAAAATTCAAGCGCATGCACACTCAAATACGATCTCATTCTGAAACTGTCACAATCATAGATATCATATAACAACTAGTTGTTATATGATATCTATGGTCACAATGCTCATTCGTCGATTTGCCATCGTCATACCAACAGGGTAATGAACCGGAAGTGATTTAATAGTGGTGACGTGTCAGCCGTTTCAGCTGATTATGGGGTAATGCTATCCCCCGGGCGTGGAGGGACACCGCAACGTGGCAACACTAGTATTAGGATTAATATTATTAGTATTAGCATTAGTATCAGTATTAGTATTAGTATTAATATTAGTATTAGTATTAGTATTAGGTTAGGGTTAGGGTTAGGATTAGGGTTAGGGTTAGGGTTAGGCCGTTAGGGTTATGGTTGGGGTTAGGGTTAGGGTTAGGGTTAGGGTTAGGGTTAGAGTTTTTGCATCATGATATCTGTCCCCACACCATAGATTAATTTTTGTGGATCACAGCCCTTATATATAGCGCTCCGAGATATATATATATTTAGTGTTAGGGTTAGCGTTGGCGGTGTTGGAGTTAGTGTTACCGGATGAGCAATGATTTTGAAGTATACGTCAACTGTATCACGTGACCGTCCCTCCACGCCCGAAGGATAGCAACACCCCTCATTATGGTCCGTCCATAGATGGCGCCCTTGAGGCGAACAGCGCACAGCCAATCCCAAGGCCTATAGATAAACACACGTTTATTTATAGGCCTTGGCCAATCCACTTCCTCTCCTTGTTATATTTAGCTCCTTGTCTTGATGGAATGTAAGGGTTACATGTTTGGTGCGTGATGGTGTGGAGCAAACAATTTCACCTGATAGAATTTCTTAAGAAAACTCTGTATAGGAAAAAAAAAAAAATTGTGGATAGTGATTGCATTGTCAGTCTAGCATGTGATCACTTGACATTGTGTTTGTATCGCTTTTCACCTTTT